GGCCACGACGGTTTGCGTGGTCTTGGTGGAGTTGACGCGGTTCTGGATTTTGCATCGCTTCAGGGTCTCGTCAGCGAAATCATCCTCCTCGATCGCCTCGTTGATCATGCGAAGGCGGGCGTAGGGCTCGGGGAACTCGGCCTCGGTGTGGCCAGCCTTTTGCGATCGCTCGATGATGGTGCCGAGAAGGCCCTGGTATTTCTTCAGTGTGCACTTCCCACATTCAACGCCATCGATGAACTCGACCTTGGTGTAGCTGTCGAGTCGCTCGTAGAGGTCGTGCTGACCCTGGGCCGCTAGACTCAACGTCAGGCAGTTGAAGGGGATCATCGTCAGCCCCTCAGACCAGCCGCATGAGACACAGGCAACGCGCTGGGCGGTCAATCCCTCGAGCGGGTTGCGAATAAGCTTCGCTTCCGATCCAGCTTTGGACAGCGTAGTCGACAAGCTCTGATAGCCGCTGTCATCGCTGTGCTGGCTGGAGGTGCTGTCGTCCTTCGCCGTGGCTCCGCAAGCCTCGCTCTCGAACCCCGCTGGCTTCTGCAGCTCCTTCGCAGCTTTTGCGATCTCCTTGTCGATCTCGTCGAGCAGCTTGGAATAGTACTCCTGGGCGTCTTGCTGCTGCCACGTGCTCATATTCTTGAGGACAGAAGGTGTCCACAAGGTACGCCCGTTGTTGGTGGTGTCGTTTAGCTCCTCGATCAGGTCTCGCAGCTTGTCCGTCGTGCGTGCCGCACCCTTTGTCTGCCCCTCTCGGTCGAGAGACAGGCCGGCTAGGTAGGTCGGAAGCGGGTGCAGCGAGGCGAGGCCCTGGAGGATGCTGTTCTGGTAGCACGAGTTGTCCATGTTTCCGAGCCCTGGGGGATGTTCTGAGCCCTTGAGCCCCAGTGTGCTGCCGGAGAGGGTCTTGAGGCCCTTGCGCCCGGCTTGGGACACAGACCGCATGATGCTACCACCATGGTCGAGGCCGAGGAGCTTTCGGAGTGCCTCGCTCTTTGCAGCATGAGAGCGGGTGATGGTCTGGGTCTGCTGCAGCATTGGAGGGAGCGGAAAGAGCGGGGGGTTGAGCCAGCGGTCGAGGGCGAAGAGCAGGCGGGCCGGGATGAGCCAGACGATGGCGTCCCACAGCAGCTGCGACGGCGGTGGCAGCTGGTGGTTCTGGGCCGCCGCTGCTTGGTAAACGACGGTCGCTGCGAGGACCAGCACGGGGATGAGGATAGAAGGGTCGCTGGTTATGCGGTCGCGCAGGTTGGTGGCGTCGTAGTAGCCCGGGGCGACGGGTGGTGGATGGTGGTGGCCGCTGCGGTCGTTGAGGTGGGACAGGATCCGGCGCGCGTCTGAATTCATCCTGACGGATTGTGGGCATGAACCAGAGAAGATGGCGGTATCTCTCCGCTCATGGCATCGGTAGAGGTCCCCTGAAAAAAGAACCAGACGCGCGACGTGCTGAGCTCGATGTGGCTAGGATGTGAGGGCAGTATGACAAAACGTTCACATGTGGCGTCCCAGCGGCAGGTGAGGAGGGATGGGAAAGCTTAGAAGCGGATCTCGTGAGTGGACGGATGTGGGGCCTGCCCATCGTGCCATGTGCCTTTCGCTCACTGAGGCAATCAGGTCACGGAGCCTGGAAAGCGTCCCCACCCCTGCTGCACTCGAGGCATCGACGCACCGCCTCTTTACCGTGCACGACACAAGGCACAAGGGACCAACCTAGCCGAGCCAAGTGCAACAAAGGCTGCGCTCGTCCCTCCAGGGGGCCTTCTCTTTTGCAGCTCAGGTATGCACACAAGGCTGCATGCACTCGTATCATCCACTCGGTCTCCTCCTTTGCGCCTCGGTCTTTCCCCCACAGAGCTGCTGCTTTTCGCCAGGTTATCCAGTAATCACAGGATACAATACAGTTGAGATTGAATCAACTGGTTCTTTCATGGATGTGTATTTTTTTTTATAAAATAAAAATACTAACTCTAGACCTCAGGGGCACGTAGAGGCTTGCAGACCGGAATCTTCTCGTTTCTGTGTCTCCTGAGACGCCGAGCATCTAGTCTCGACCATGTCCACTTTCATCTGACTCCCTAGGATCTCGCATGGGACAAAGAATTTAAGATGGGGTGATACGCAATGAGATCCCAGCGAACAAAGCGCGGCAAGCTAGATCTCAGGTGCCGTGGGCTCTGCTTAACCTCATTAGCGACTATTGCTACCCTATTCACCCAGGGGATAGCTCCTGAAGCCAGCCCCCGACCCACCACGACCGGACATTTGTCGGTACAAGTGATTATTGTCAAATATAAATACTTGTACGTTACTGTTGTTCTCGATTCTATCGAGCTGGCGTCTATTGAATCCGTGAACGTTACCAAGTACCTACATGGTCTAGGGCCAAGGGCGACAATCACCCCCTCGCCTAGATGTATACTCTACGCAGACATTCACATATCGATTCCATCCTTCACCCGCAACACAATCTCGCGCAGGTGCCAGAACTCAGGCTTGTCTGCCCCCCCGCCCTGATAGTAGCTCGTCAGCTTCGTCATCATCTCCTGAAGCATCTCGAAATACAAACTGCAGGGCTATCTACCCCGGCACGTGATGTATTTGGCCCTGCCGTACCGCAAGTCTGTTGAGAGTAGTGTAAGGTCACCACGGCACATCGTCGCCTGTGGGTGAAGCCGCGCGGTGCGACGCCTGGGCTCACGCTACTGGAAACTGTAGCTGTAGGCCACGCTCTGCGCAGTGATCAGCTGGGGGGCGTCGCAGTTGTGTAGGATCTTGAGCGCCAACGTGTGCCAAAGCTCAGCATATCGCCAGCCATAAATATATCTCCCCGGTTGGATGCCTGTGTCCTGCAGAGTTTCAGAAAGGGGCGGAATGTGGCGTCCCTGGCGAGAGCTTCCCGGGCCGAGGCGGGAGCGCCGTTGAAGGCCGGGTCTGCTAAGTCTGGCTTGCGGTAGATGAGTAGCGAGTGCCACTGCCTGAACCGGTCTCAATATTACCGGAAATGTAGAGCCTTGGCTGAGAGGGGGGACCGGTGGTTGCCACGTCTAGTTAGCTTCTATGCTGATACAGTATTCGATGCATGGTGCTATGACAGCTAGACGGACCTCGAGCATCTTGAGCCCTGGTCCGAAGAACAATGTGTCAACGACCTTGCGCCTCGGCTTATCGGGCTCGCTCTTTTAGTGTGCCAAGTGATAGTTTGTGTAGAATTTCTGCAAGACCGCAGCATCCCTGAAAATGGCCTGCAGGCGTGACAGCATCGGGACCTTCTGAAGAGAGTGCAGGACGTAGCAGTTGAGCAGAAATTGACTGGAGAGGGCCAGAAACTGCGTCAGAAAGGCGGTAGATCACATACGAGTATTCCAAAGGCAGAGCAGAGTAGTAGACTTGATCGGCCAGATGCCTGCCCGAAACCGGAAGGTCATTGCCATTTGGGCTCTCTTGTCCACGCAAAGGTTCAACCGGCCCCGATAAGTATTCATCGCACTGATGGCGGTGCTATAGTCTGCCGCAGAGCGCGAGATGCGCATGGCCGGCGCTAGGGGCCAGCAGAGCATTGGGGAAAAGCAGAACGTCGCGTCAAGGGGTATGGCTATGAGACGAACCGACAGAGATATGTGGAAGGGTTGAGCTTCCAGGCCACCTCAGCTCGCAGTACCTGTAGCTGCCGAGGAGCATGTTCATGCCGACGGGCAGCTTTCCCATTTTAACGCTCAGCTCTCAGTCCTCGGATGAGAAACATAGATGACAAGGGCTTTAAATATAGGACTCTCGCCTCGCACCCCTTCCGCTTCCACCGTCTCTCCCCTGATGGCTTCTTTCAAGCAAGCGGGTGAAGGCGATGGCCTACGAAGGGCCTGGTGCAATTTCTTCCGTCGTCGCTGCTGCTCGGCCCCCCAGGTTTGCCTAACCAAAGAGGGTCGCTAGCAGCTGGCCCAGGAGCAGCTGGACAAGGAACGAAGCGCTCTGGCTGCACCTCGCGTTGGTTGGTAGTGGGCTAAGCTGGGGCTAGGTGCAAGAAAGTGCCCGACTCCCGCAAGTGCCGTCGCTTAGTATGCATGATATTACTGACCACAAACGGCCACGCATCTTGCATGTCGATCGTAGCCAAGACTTGCAGATGCATACAGAATGTGGGCATTTCAGTGATCAAATTAGGCGCAAAGGGTATAGGCGAGCATCCAAGCTAACGTAGGCATGTTTGATCGCCTTTGTGCGTTGAATATCTCGCTGTGGCTGCCTACGATGTTTTGCTGTTGGCTCCCCGGGTCTGACTTAGAAGTTGGGAGGAATGACTAAGGGAAGAGAGCCTCAGAGAACTGGACCAAAGCACGGCGGCGCTAAGAAAGCTTGCCTGAGCCCTAGGGTCCAGGGATCAGGCTAGCTCCCCCCCCCCTTGACTAAGGTTATTTCTAGCCTGCCCACCCCTAGTAAATTTAGTGGCACCCGACCTGGTATGCACTCTGTCACTTGCGATCTGCGCCGAAAAGGAATGCGATACGGATCCAGGTATCTAATTAGGTGGGGCTAGGGTCCGATTTTCATTCCATATTCTTCTCCTGGGACCCAGCACGTGTCATGCATAGAAGAGGAAGCGTGGGGCCGAGGAACTAGAAAAAATAAAAAGAGATGGAGCTAGAAGGACAAAGAAGACGACGAGACGCAAAGGCTAAGTAAGTGTCTCGGCTCTGTGACCCTAGGGCCCCGAGTAGGTACCTAGATGGGCTAAAGGATAAGCCGAGGAACCCGTGCGGGGACGGGGAAGTTTAGCAGCTCGATCTGGTTTCCGGGGCCTGCGAGCTAAGCTAAGACTTGTAAATCTGAAGAAATGTACTCAATATCAGCTGCCTCGTTCCTTCAAAGAAGCGGAATATCCAACAAACACCATGGCAACCGATGCGAGAAACAAATTGACAAAGGCAGGAGGGGAAAAAATGGCGAAGGAAAAAAAAAAAGAGCTTGATAATGACAGCAATGGGATTCGAACCCATGTCCCTTTTCAGGATCAGGGAGATTTGATCTTCTGCAAGATCGCGTGAGAATATGTTCATATCAGGAAAAAGCATCTGGACTTACAAGTCTGACGCCTTAACCACTCGGCCATACTGCCTGTTGCACGTGGCTTCGAAATTTAGCAAGTTGAAGCAATTATGAATTATCAACTACCAGTATACAAAAGCCGTCTTGAGACCCTCTGTCCCTCGGCCTATGTTGACCGACGCAGATTGATTTGAATGACTGACACTGGATTTGATGCTTATTGGAATAGCCTCCTAGGTCCTGGCTCCTGGGCCCTTCGTTATGCTACGTTGGTTGTACTGTAATGCCTGTGTAGCCCTGAAGCGTGGTGTCTATTTGAAGTCGCTGGGTTATATAGGAGACCTTGGCCAGTGCCTGTGGCCGAGTTTGGGGGTACTTCTGTACTTCTGTATCTCTGAAGGGGCCTAGCCAAAATGAGTGCCCGGGACCACAAAACACGAGCTATTTCTGCGCTATGTAAGGTACGAAATAGAGACGGAGTACATACCGACCTTAGCAGGGGCCAAAAAAAAGTTTGAAGCCAACGTCGTTTTGCGCGCTATCCAAACTCGTTCTACTCCGTACTTCTTTTTTTTTTTCCCGCATTGCATTGTCCACAGGCCAGGCGCGATCTCGTATTGCCGCTGCCCGGCCCCCCACTGGAATGGTCCAATCAACCCCTTTTAGGCTTGCGGCGCAGCCCAATCAGGACGGCGGAGCCAATGGCATTTCTGACTGGCAATCTTGTTCGAGTCCAGCTAGACTGGGGCGATGTGCCTGCCTCACAGTCGGGGCACAGTCGGGGCCGTACCGTCCAAGCGGCCGTCGTTGTGCACGCCTGTGAGCCACAGCTGTGACGTCTACCTCTAAGCCTCCCAACTGCGAAAGTCCCTCCAACACCTCCAACAGGAGCGCTAGGGAGCTCCTGTGTTTGGACCTCGTCATTCTCTCACGCGTCTTCTCTTTGTCTCGTCGTCTTAGCTCCCCGGGCGACTGATTCATCTGGTCTGCGTCGGCCGCGCCTCCTGCTACTCTGTCTCGTTTGTCCTTGGGACTGACGCTGGCAGTGGTAATAGAATAGCAGCCTCCTCCGCACGACAAGTACTGGGACCAGGTTGCCATAATTACCCGCATCAGGGCCTACGGTTTTGGCTTGAGTACCTAGTTAAGCTGGGCCTGGGCCGATCATTCCAGCTTCCGTCCTTCCCCTCCACCCCCCCTCCCCCCTTCGCTCGTTCGCCCCCCGTCTTACTTAGTAGTACCTAATTACCTGCTACTACCCGGCCCGCTTACCTGCCCACCCACCGTGCCCACTGTAGACGCGACTGGCCCAGGCACCCTGCGCCCTTGCTCGTCCTCCCTTGCCAGGTCCCCCCCCAAGCCACACACGGCAATCCTCCTGCTGGCCCTGCTGGCCCTGCTGGCCCTGCTGGCCTGGTTGGTTGAGCATTTCAATCGACTTGTCTCCCCCCTTTCCCGCCGTGGACTTTGCATCATCGTCGACCACGTTGTCTGCTTGTCTCTCGCCCTCGTCGCTCTGTTAAACCTCGCCTGCCGCCCGTCCGACGACGACGACGACGTGCCTGCCGCCCATGCCATAGGGTCTGCGGGTCTCTCTCGCCACCTAGTCGCGCTTACCTAGCCGTCGCTCCTCACTCGCGCTCCCGACGACCCCCCAAGCAGCCGCAATGGCCAACGACATCGAGCCTCCGATCGAGAAGCCGCAGAACGCGGTGAGCCGGAGGGACAACCTCCACCCGGCCTTTTATATCGCGTATGTATTCTTTGGGGTGGAAGTGAAGAGTGGACAGGACCTAGGGGGGACTCCGGCGGATGGCCTTGCTGGCGCCAACTTGGCTGACAATTGCCGTCTTGCAGGAGCTGGATATTCTTCTCCAACCTCACCATTCTCTTCAACAAGTGGCTGCTCGACACCGCTGGATTCAGTAAGAACGCTCTGCCTAGCTGCAGACCCTTTTCCCTGTTGCCATTGCTAACGCGCCTCTAGAGTACCGTGAGTTTCCTTTTGCACGATCCGACGATCCGCATTGATTCGGTAGGTGCTTGCCTGCTAACTGGGATCGCTCAGCCGTCATCCTCACATGTTGGCACCTGGTTTTCTCCACGGTCGCCACCCAGATCCTGGCGCGGACTACCACCCTCGTCGATGGCCGTCGCAATGTCAAGATGACGGGCCGCCTGTATCTGCGCGCCATTGTGCCCATCGGCCTGCTGTACAGCGCCAGCCTGGTGTGCAGCAACCTGACGTATCTGTACCTGAGCGTCGCCTTCATCCAGATGCTCAAGGCCGCCGCTCCCGTCGCTGTGCTCTTCACCTCGTGGGCCTGGGGCGTCGAGAACCCGTCGATGCGCCGCGTGCTCACTGTCTTCGGCATCGTCGCCGGTGTCGCGCTCGCCAGTGTCGGAGAGATACACTTTAGCTGGCTTGGCTTCATGTTCCAGACCGGCGGCATCGTGTTTGAGGCCATGCGCTTGGTCCTAATCCAGATCCTCCTCTCCGAGGACGGCCAAAAGATGGACCCGCTTGTCAGCCTGTACTACTTCGCTCCAGTGTGTGCCGTCATGAACCTGATCGTCGCGCTCCTGTCCGAGTGGAGCAGGTTCGACTATGCCGATCTACAGCGGACTGGCTTCCTCATCCTCATCCTGAATGCCTCCATTGCCTTTATGCTCAACATTAGCAGCGTCTTCCTGGTACGTTGGGCTCACTCTTATCTTTCCCGACCCGCATTCCTAACCTTCAGCAGATCGGTAAGACCTCGAGCCTCGTCATGACGCTTACGGGCATCCTGAAGAACATTTTGCTCGTCATCGCCTCGGTAATGATCTGGAACACATCTATTACGTTCCTCCAGTTCTTTGGCTACACGATTGCTCTGTTGGGTCTGGTATACTATTCTATCGGCTGGGACCAGATCGTGACGACCTCAACTGGGGTCTGGGCGTACCTCAAGGCTTTGTGGTCCTCTCCCTCTCTCGACGAGGGCCGCCTTTCCCCTGCCGTCCGGAGGGGCCTCATCATGGGGCTCACGCTGTTCATCGTGGGTATGGTGACCATCGGCTTGGTCTACGGCGGTGACGATGGCGTGACGCGGGTAGCTTCCCGGCAGTCATGATGCTGCATTTCGACGACAAGCAAAGTCCTCCAATCTTCCTTCCCAAGGTGTTTTTTTTTTCGCGAAGAGACACCGATTGGACAATATTCGATAAAGCTGCGTCCATGGTACGCAAAAGCTTCTTCAACCTTTCGGCTCCGGATTGATTTTTGCACAAGCCGAGCCACCCTCTTGGGTCAACCCCCGGCGTTGCGAGTCCTGGTTGCTATTTAATGCGGGTGCATGGTGAAGGAGCAAGGGGGTTTAACGAAAAAGAAAATACATCATGTGCTCGACGCAGGCTATAGAAGCAGGCACCTTGGGCGTATGGAGGCAGTTCTCGTACTGCTAAACCTGTGCACGCGTCGGGAAGCGTCCAGTGTGTTTAGAGCATTTGGATTGATATGATGGCCCGCGGGCCCACGACCCTGTCCGTTCGGATTTTGACTACCGGCCAGAATATAGACGTCGTCTAGTCGCCCACTGTAGGATCTATAGTGTGTACTTAATGAATGAAGCGTTGAAGCTATGACCCACGCTGCCTTGAGCCCAAGACGATTGCATCTCACTGCACCGCACCCTTCGTGGAAACGGACGAGTTCAAGGTGCTAGGGAGATAAGTTATAGTACGGAGATCAAGGCTTGGGTTCATTATGATTCTGCTCTCTTGTATCTAGCAAAGTTGGCAGAACCGCCACATCTGGTGATCCTGCCGATGTTGTGATAGTTCATCGCCCTATCTACGAGGGAGGATTATTATACTAGATGTTTCCCCATGGCCCGCCAAGCGCAAATAAGTCCGGACGCCTTGTCAACTGACTAGATGGTATATCGATGTGTTGCTGCGTTGCTGCTGGGAGTAAGGAAAAATCTCATTTATGCTTTGGACCAGCGACCGCCTTCGTCGGGATGGCTCGGGCTTGACGCGTCCGACGGGGAAGCTTCTAGCCACGGCTCCGACTTCGACGTCTGCTGCGGCTGCGATCCCGCCTATCGACGCGGCCTCGATCTCGATCTCTGTCGCGGTCTCGCTCGCGATCCCTATCCCTATCTCTGTTTCTATCCGCCTCGCGATCGCGATCTCGGTCTCGATCTCTGCGGTCTCTATCCCTATCCCGGTCCCTATCTCGATCCCGGTCTCGATCCCTATCCCGGTCTCTAACATCACGAGTAGAGACACTGTCATCACGACGGTTACGGCGGTCTCGATCTCGGTCTCTGTCACGAGAACGATCTCGGTCTCGATCTCTGTCACGATCTCTGTCCCTTTCACGACGGTCTCTCTCGCGGTCGCGATCCCGATCTGGATCACGGTCCTTGTCCCGACTGCGGCTTCGTCGGCGGGTGTCCCGGCGGTCGTCACGATCCCTGTCGCGGTCTCTCCTTTCACGGTCTCGGTCTCGGTCTCGGTCGCGATCTCGATCTCTATCGCGCTCTCGGGCCTCGCCGTCATAGCGGTCACTCGTCAGCGTCCTCCGCTCCTTCTCGCGATCAGCCGGCACGTAGCGGTCGATCTCATCGGGCTTGTACGGGCGCTTGGCGTCTGGAGAGCGGTCCGGGATGGGCTCGTCGATACCTGGTACTGGTAGCCCCTTTGCGCGGGCTTCCTTCTGGGCAGCGAGATAGGCCTTAGCTTCAATCTCTCGCTTTTTTACCTCGTTTTGCTTCCAGATTTCCAGCTCCTCTCGGTCCATGGCAGTTGGAGGTCGGGAACGCGAGTGGCTGTCGCGAGTTGAGCCACGTTCCTTCTCCCGGTCGCGGTCCCGGCCTCTCTCTCTATCGCGATCACGATCAGTCTCGCGATTTCGATCCCGCTCCCGCTCTCGATCCCGCTCCCTATCACGCTCGCGGCTACGGTCAGGACGAGCGCGAGAGCGGCTGCGATCACGCCGATCCCGTCTGTCCCGAGAGCGGCTTCTTTCCCGGCGATCTCTCAGCCGTGAGCGAGACCTGTCCCGGCGTTCAGTTCGAGTTC